GACCACCCTTGCATGTCCTTTCTTCAGAATAAACACTGTCATGGATATGATGTAATCCGTATGTATACGTGGGCTGGTCTATGCAGGGAATTTTGCATCCAGACATGCTTTCATTTCGCATTTACATACTTACTCAAATATTTTCAGTTTGTGTTGTTTGTCCCTGCGTTCTTTGTGGTTGAGATTTTCGTGCTTTTGAATTATAATTACAAAGTTTATTCGTACCATGTGTGGCTGTAATCACAACCATTCTACTAAAAACCAGAGGCATCATGTGTCACTGTTTAAATATAAAACCCTTCCTTCGGCCTCTGGTGTATTAGTGTACCATAGCTTCACTGTATATACTAGTGCTGGATCCAATTCACATGAACCATCCAAAATCGTGGGAAATTTTTCTAATGGAGCATGTGCAGCCCTGTTACCAGGCCTTCAACTGGTTGGTCACACATGTGCAATTATCACTCTGTGTAAATGTACATTGTGTAAGCAGGGAAGGGCTGGGAACGAGGCTAGAGCATGTGTTAGTTACACAGCAGACTAATAATAGTGGATCCTTGTCAAGACGGTTGGGTCAAGAGTCACCTAGAGCCCCACAGCAATGTGTGTCTCCGTTGAAGCTCTCAGGAAGTGTCTAGCAACATTTCAGAATTGTATATCGGAGGATTTCAGCTCCTTCCACATGTCCTTATAATGCATTGCCCTTTCAATGCTCACCCATCAGCTGTTGTAATATTAGCAAATTGACCTTTTAACCCCGCTCCTCATGCTCACTCAGTCCTTTCAACAGCGGAATTTCGAGGTCTGTGGTGCATTGTACTCGCATTAGCCAAATTCCAGTGCAAAACTACAGCTGCCTTATAAGACTATTAGTAAAGTAGACTGGGTGGCTGATACTGGCATTATAGAGTGAAAAGCAGAGAGTAGCCAACAGGTCTGCACATGATGCTAGACCAACGGTGCTGCCTCCGCCCATTATATCAGTACGTGCACTACATTTGTGGCACGACCAGCCTTGCACGTGGCAACGCTCATCTCTCTCCGTGACTCTCTTGGCTGAGTCTCAAATCTAATTATTTTCCACGTGCATACACTTTCTGTACGAATGACAAGGTAAGATTGCGTAATGAGTAATAAGTAAAACAGTCTACATAATTATAGTGTATGGGTGCTACACATTCTTGAGACCGCAATAATGTTGTGGGCATGAGACCTCAGTGTTATTCTGAGAATTTTCTCGGGAAAACAGGCCCTCAGATGACACACATTCAGAATCTAGTTTCAGTTGCTATTGTTGTCCGTTGAAAACACTTGAAAACACTAAGATTTCCTCGAGGGAGTCAAACACAACAAACACAAGGACATGTATATGGTACACAACTCTTTAGCCTGGGAATTGAAAGTGGATATTATCGTTGTGTAGCTACAGGTGTAGTTTTGCAAAGATATGTGATGGTCTCAGCAACTGTGTCAGCCTCTGCAGGGATAGCAAGTTGTGTGGTGCATTGCATATCTTACACACATGTCAATCTATCCATTTTTTGTTTGATATGTCTGCTGACGTGAAGCTACACTCACTTCGCTGAGTTGTTAGTGTACATAATGCACTGTGTGTACTAATGGATGTATGTAATTACTGTGCACGCACGATAGTCACAGAGAAATTTTATGGCTATATAGGCCACGCTCTGCTCGAAAATTTGCTGCACACGGTGCTGCGTGTCAGGCTGCAGGCATTTCCTTTCCCCCTTGCCATTGAAACCCTCGGGGGCTTGAGTGACACCACTGCGGATACCATCTTGAAAGCATTTGTGAAATTTCAGCCCTCTGTTTTTGACGGGAAAAAGATTGGTACAGGGGGACAGTAATCAATGAACAATAAACAGTGAGAGTTTTCCACTTCAGTGTCCTCCTAATGCATGGGACATGTACAAATTGTCCTCGACATGGATGGCTGTGATCCAGGACAAAACTGGCCTCCCATTCTGCTGTACGTCTCAATATGGATCCCATGTTATTCTGCATTGCTCTTTGGTGACTATGTCCTCACTCATGTTAGGACCCATTGTTGTGGAACACTCTTCCTACATAGCTTTTTGCTTTCACAGGTTGTTGACAAAACTAAGATAACAGTGAAAGCCAAACACTGCCTAACATGGTGAGAGAGAGAGCTGTGTTGAATAGGAAAGTGTGTGCTGTGTTATCAAAACTGCCCTGTGTAAGTACCACAATTGCACATCTCACCCCACAAAAACACCTCTGCCATTGCTCCACCCAGAGCAAGATTCCATGTCAATCCTACTCTTAGGGTGAAGCGGACACACCCATGTACATAATGTTCCTCATGTGTTCCCATGTCAAGTTGTTGTACTCATTCATACCACCACACCCTTTCTGAGGTTGTCATGCATTATAATTCCATTTAGAGTGGTTGCATCTGAGACTCTATAGACATGCACCCTCACTCATACAAAGAGCAGCTGTCTATAATAACAGGCTCCAGCTGTCTCAGACCCATGAGATACAAAGCCAAAATAGTTTGAAGAACACCTCTGCCATTGCTCCACCCAGAGCAAGACTCTGTGTCAATGATCCTACTCTTAGGGTGAAGCTGACACACCCATTTACATAATGTTCCTCATACGTTCACTTACTACGAAACAAGCATTTATGAACACACCATGTCAAGTTGTTGTACTCATTCATACCACCACACCTTCTGAGGTTGTCATGCATGCAGAGTATATACCAGGTCTCAATGCACAAAGTGGCGGTGTCTGAGACTATACCGGCACCCTCACTCATACAAGGAGCAGCTGTCTATAACAGGCTCCAGCTGTCTCAGACTCATGGGATACAAAGACACAACAACCATGTACCAGGTGCTTAGGCTGAAAGTGATACACAAATATGAAATGGACTAGTGAAAAAAATGAGGAGTAAAAATCAAACGAGTGCTACATGATGATTATGACAATTCACTGAGTCTATAGTGCTAAAATGAGTCTTGACCTGTAACTATGGTATAATACTAACCTGCTACAATGACACGCTATCGAAAAAAGTGTCCTTTTCTGCATCTCGCTGAGGTTCATTGTTGATTGGAGAACTCTCCTCCTCGTCCTCCTACAGAAAGCCACCAATACAGATTAATACAGTAGCACAAAGGAAGTGTGGCCCGCAAAGCGGCTTACAGTGATGGGCTTCGAAGCTCTGTTCTTTTTCTTCTTAGTCTTGTCCACAACAGAATATAGAGGGATATCAGTGGCTGGGGCTGGAGTCTAGCGTCAGGGCAGTGAGTAAGGATGGAAAACATGGTAGATACACCTCGGGTTAATGCTATATAAGGCATTGCTTGCCACTTCATATTCCCCCATGCACTTGTCATATTGCAACACACTGTACTGTATATAGCTACAGGATGCATAGAGACAAGTGTTTTCAGTTTTGGGCGAAGGCGCCGTGGTGATGGAACCCCAGGTACCAGAGGCTTAGGGGTTAAGCAAAAGCAAGTGACTGTCAGCAGCATGCATGCAGGAACTTTGTTTGTGTTATTGTAGCTACTAAAACATACAGGCGTTTCCTCAAGGCAGATATGCAAACACGCGACCCCTTGCATGCCGCGGGGTATCTAATTTTGTGAGCGCACGACGCGACGAAGGCCGTGATGGAACCCCAGGTATCTAGCGAAGTAGCTAGTTTATCAGATATGCTTGAGGTGCTAACAGATCTTTTGTCCTTAGGCTCTCATCAAACTTTGGATTTTCGTTTTTGCTTACTGCGGTGGTTTGCATGTTGGAGGTGAGAGCACATGCAAAAACGGTCACACTTGTATGATAGTATACTATATTATCATCCCCTTTGTGCATGTCAAAGGTATGGATAAAACTGTGTAAACATTTAAATGATGGCACATTCTGTTTTTTTACATGCCAGGAGTGGGACAATTGCACATAAATAATGAAAAGCACTGAAGTGCAAACCCTCGGCGCACTGTGACGCGCACGCGTAAGTAAACGCATGCGCTGTACCACTAATTGATGGGCTGGGTTTAGTTTTAGCTGTTAGTCGTGGTCTCTTGCCAGCTCGCGCAGAGTCTGACGCGGGCTAACTACACTACTAGATATGTAATATGCGAGAGGGGATACACGCCCTGCGTTACATCTTCTGGTGCCTCCGAAGTACGCAGATCACGCGGATCGATCCGACTTTCGCGCTCTAGCTTTGCAACGGAGCATTTTCAGAGAAAACCGCCTTTATCTTCTGACCTTCGTCGCCCGTTGGGTAGATGGTATCGTTTCTGGGACGAACAGACGTTCGAGGAGTGAGATGTAGAATAACAGACAAACAGACAGACAGACAGACCCAATGAAAAAGCACTAAAGTGCAAACCCTCGGCGAAGTAGCTCGCAGAGAGTGTGACACGGGCTAGCTACAGTAGTAGATAGCACGCGAGAGTCGATACTTGTGCCATCAAGATAGACAGAGCAAGCGGACCCGGTCGAGGTAAGCCTGTGCTAAATATAAGCGCATGCATAATTATTATCCGCCAGCGATAAAATGCCGACTACCGGCATTAGCCTGGAAGCGCTCTAGCTCTGCAACGGAGCATTTTCAGAGAAAACCCCACATATGTTCTGACCTTCGTCGCCCGTTGGGTAGATGGTATCGTTTTTGGGACGAACAGACATTCGAGAGGTGAGATGTAGAGTAACAGACACACACACACACACACACACAGCTACAGACAGACAAACCCAACTACAGTACCCTCGCTACGCATGCGCGCCGAGGGTAACTACTGTGTACCCTCGATGCGCATGCGCGCCGAGGGTATCACAGAGGCTCTAGTGGGTTTTCTCCATCATGCCTAAAACTCAACTGCTGCACACTTTCATCATGATGACATGCAGCAGAGCCTTAGGAGGGGGGGGCAAACCAGCTCTGTATCACACATTTTACTTAGTGACGATAGAGGCAGTTATTTTTACCTTGCAATAGTCTTATTTGCTACATCCTTTGATACCCTCACTGTTTAGTTGTCTTGTTACTAGACACCCTGACCCTCCTTCTTGTCTGGCACTTATAGAAGGTTTTGCTGCGGGAGTTTGTGTGTTTACTCAGTAAAGAACTCTGCAGGTGTACAGCACACATGTAATCTGTAGGTTTTATCAGTCCGAGTGTTGTTACGACACTGAGGAAAACTGAACTAGGACTTTTCCAACTTCACGGGGCACAAAAATGAATAGAGAGAAAATTACACTATCTTCATTCAGGTACAGATGGAATAGTCCTCTCTTCATCAGTGGAGTCTGAGAATGGACATGTAACAGTGTGTCCTGATACCACCATCACATTCACCTGCTCAGACACTCTAGTCTATGGCATGAGATGGTTTGCTCTTCCTCTTCTCAACCAACAAAACTCTCCTGATCTGGGATCACTGGTTGAGATTGGAGATCCTTATATGGTGGAGGATGTGTTCGCTATTACTCTAGTGGCCAGGGAACTGATGCCTGACTTTCGAGGCAACTATACCTCCACTCTGAATGTGGTGGTGAATGATAAAATACAGAATGGAACGAATATCACCTGCCGTACACTATATTCTGTGGCCTCCCTCCTCATTTTTAAACAAGGTTTGTTTTAATGTACGGTCAGATGCAATAGATTTTGAGGTTACAGTCATTCTATGGTCAAGCTCACAACATTAACATTTGAATGTGTCCCAGGAGCAGTTCAATTTCTCTACAGTTTTAGCTATATTTTGGGCACACAAAATATTTAATTCTCCCAAAAATTTGCTTCATAATAATTATTATGGAGAAAGCCTAAATAATTATATTTTTGAACACAAATTTTAATGTTTAACATGAAATGCAGGTTCTCCACTTTCTCCTCATGTGGACTTCAAATAGAGAGTCATTCTGTAGAGAACTTCACAACCTGCCTTACCTGGCAGAGACAGAAGTCTGATTTGTACTACCTGATCAACACTAGCTCTGGAATGAGATATACGGAAACATCCACTGAACTCTGTCTGACAGCAGAGTATAATACTCCTCTACAAGTCTCTGTGGTGGCTGTGAATTGTGCAGGGGAAAGTGAGCCAATGACTACCAGACATCACCATAGGTATGGCAATGATTTACTCTAGTGCTAACATTAAGATTGATTCCTCTCCCTCAGCTGGCTGTGGTCCTCCCAGTCCACCAGTGAATGGCAGTGTTGGTGAGTGGACCAGTTCCAGAGTAGGAGCACAGGTCACCTACTCCTGTGACACCCACCTGGTTCTGGTGGGAGAGACTGTGGCCACATGCTCTCTCCCTTCTCTAACATGGCTGCCTAGTAGTGGTGATGTCACCTGTGCACAACCACCAGGTATTTTATTTTAGTACCATTAATCATTATAATTTTGACCCACAATATGCAGTATTAAGCAAAACTCCAGTGGTGACACAGACCATGCAACCAATGAGTAAGGATGAAAACTAGAGAATTAGTCTTACAGCCTATATCTCCACAGATGGTGATAAAAGAAGCAGTTCTCTGAGCACAGCAGAAGCAGTGGTCACAACAGGAGTAGTGTGTGTAGTGTGTAGCTTCACTGCTGGACTGCTACTTGGTGTCCTACTGACTCAATGTCATGGTCACTGTCATAGGAAGGGGAGGAGAGGCCAGACTGAGATACCTCCTGTTTATGAGGACATTCCCTTGGAGAAGACACCTCCCATTGAACTTAACACAAATGAAGCTTATGGACACATCTCAAGATGATTGTCATGTCATTACTGACTTCACCTTTCACAACATAAAACTCTGCTGTTTACATGACAAGAAATTGTTACCATAGTTTCCTACAAAAACATTGACATGTAAATTGTTATCCTAGAGTAAATGCATAACTCTCTCACCAACACACCATCCTCTATAGAGTTCACGAGGTCAGGAAAAGTGCTGACTAATCATTTTGGGTGTATTTGTAGCTCCAGAGAGGCCAGACTGAGATACCTCCTGTTTATGGGACATTCCCTTGTAGAAGACCACTCCCATTGAACTCAACACCAATGAAGCTTATGGACATATCACAAAATAAATGTCATGTCATTATCTATTAAAGACCATACCGAATTGTTTTCACAACATTGACTTAGTTTCCTTGAGCAATCATGCATTACTCGCTCGTCAACACTATGCTCAGACCACATTCTATAGAGTTCATGAGGTCAGGAAAGTGCTGATACTGCAGATCAATAGCCATACTCAGATATTTTCGAAAGATGTTGTTACTTTTTATCGTAAGTGTAAATACCTTGTGTTCATATTGATGTTCTAGGTGAAGAGACATCATTTTACTCTTTTACTACTCTTCCCACCACAACATTTAGCTATCACTATGGTGAGTTTGGGTGAGCACACAACAACCGCTTAGTACTAGGCCAGCACTTGTCTTAAACATTATTCACATGCTCAAACTCTCAACAAACATTTGAATTATGGTGTAATTGCTTTTCATACCAAGTTGGGCTGCAGTCCAAGGTGTCTCCCTGTCTTCCTCTCCATCATCTGAGGATGGTATCATATCAGTCTGTCCTGCCACCACTGTCACCCTCACCTGTACTGCCAGTGGAGTTGTAGCTCTGGGATGGAGAAACCAGAATGGTGCAATAGGTGGATTCACTGCCAGTGATCCAGAGTCCATGGTGATAGAAGAAGGTCCCTACACTCTGACTCTAGTCTCAGTAGACAATGATGATGGCGATTCTTTTGCTGACTTAACCTCTACACTGGAGGTGGTGGTGGATGACATCGCCAATCGAACTAACATCTCCTGTGTTATACTCGGAAATCGGACACACCTGGTCATCTATAGAATAAGTGAACTAACAAAAAGGATCATTTTCGTTTGTGTGACTCTTTGTATGATTTTCTGTAGGAGCACCATCTCCTCCGTCTAATGTGATGGTGAAGACGGAGAATTTCCAAACCTGACAACTTCTCCATCATCATCTCCTGGGAGTCAGGGGAAGATGAAGTGGTTGATGAGTACAGAATACTGACCAACACCACTACACAGTCCATCACCACTACCAATACAACTGTAGTTCTAGAGGGAGTGTACAACATTCCTCTGGAAATCAGAGTCTCAGCCATCAACTGTGCAGGCACTAGTGCAGAGGTCACTGAGGAAGTCTTTGTTGGCAAGTTGTCTCACTTAGTGAAGAGATAAACTATTCCATTGGCTCTCTCCCTCAGCTGGCTGTGGTCCTCCCAGTCCACCAGTGAATGGCAGTGTTGGTGAGTTGACCAGTTCCAGAGTAGGAGCACAGGTCACCTACTCCTGTGACACCCACCTGGTTCTGGTGGGAGAGACTGTGGCCACATGCTCTCTCCCTTCTCTAACATGGCTGCCTAGTAGTGATGATGTCACCTGTGCACAACCACCAGGTAATAGTATAATATGACTAGTCATTGACTTAATTTTTGACCAACAATATTCAGTTGTATTAATCAGTTCAAGTATAGTGACCAGCCAAACGCCAGTTGTGACAGTTACACACACCATGCAACCAACGAGTAAGGATGAAACCTAGAGAATTATTCTTACAGCCTATATCTCCACAGATGGTGATAAAAGAAGCAGTTCTCTGAGCACAGCAGAAGCAGTGGTCACAACAGGAGTAGTGTGTGGTGTGTGTAGCTTCACTGCTGGACTGCTACTTGGTGTTCTACTGACTCAATGTCATGGTCACTGTCATAGGAAGGGGAGGAGAGGCCAGACTGAGATACCTCCTGTTTATGAGGACATTCCTTTGGAGAAGACACCTCCCATTGAACTCAACACCAATGAAGCTTATGGACCTATTTCACACAACTAGGCTTTAACAACGTTGCATTATAGCTGCACAAAGTAGCAGTAGCTGAACTGGAACAATAAAGATTACGGATATATATTATCTCTCTCATAACACTATTTTCAGTTTACGGTTTACATTCCCATCATTTTCCTACAACAACATAGCATTCTCTAGAGTTCACGAGGTCAGTCTTAAGTGCTGACAACACATAGCTATCTATAATCTGAATCAACCCAGCTTTCACAATGTAGCTGGATAGAGGTAAATTTGCTACCTCATTATTCTTCCAATGCCTCATTCTGCTGTGCCTATGGTGAGCTGAGTAGCTAACATGTCAGCCTGACAATTACTAACGCATGCTATTCTTGCTAAAGTTGACTCTTCTACAACATAGCATGAGGTTGTTCTCCTCTACATACCTTTCAAGTTCCAGTATCCAAGGTCTGTCCCTGTCTTCCTCTCCATCATCTGAGGATGGTATCATATCAGTCTGTCCTGCCACCACTGTCACTCTCACCTGTACTGCCAGTGGAGTTGGCTCCATGACGTGGAGAGACCGCAGAGAGATCCATGCATTCATCGCTATAGATTATGACAATGAAGAGACAAGAGTGGTTCATGACGGTCCATACACTCTCAACCTTACAACTATTGATAACAGATCAGGCCAACGTGCTGACTTCACCTCAACACTGACGGTGACGGTTGACGACATTGTCAGTGGAACAAACATATCTTGTCTGGTTTTCATGAAACGAGACCATCTAGTCATCAATAAAAGAAGTAAACTCTTTGCTCTTATATGTGTGTATGACATCTCTTTACAACTGCAAAAGGTCGTCCTTCTTCTCCATACAACATGACAGTGAAAACTGACAGTTATCAAACTGACAACTTCTCCATCACCATCTCCTGGGAGTCAGGGGAAGATGAAGTGGTTGATGAGTACAGAATACTGACCAACACCACTACACAGTCCATCACCACTACCAATACAACTGTAGTTCTAGAGGGAGTGTACAACATTCCTCTGGAAATCAGAGTCTCTGCCATCAACTGTGCAGGCACTAGTGCAGAGGTCACTGAGGAAGTCTCTGTTGGCAAGTTGTCTCACTTGGTGAAGAGATAAACTATTCTATTGGCTCTCTCCCTCAGCTGGCTGTGGTCCTCCCAGTCCACCAGTGAATGGCAGTGTTGGTGAGTTGACCAGTTCCAGAGTAGGAGCACAGGTCACCTACTCCTGTGACACCCACCTGGTTCTGGTGGGAGAGACTGTGGCCACATGCTCTCTCCCTTCTCTAACATGGCTGCCTAGTAGTGATGATGTCATGTGTGTACAAAAACCAGAAGGTATACTAAAGCAACTATGTACGTACTGCTCCCTCTTTTTATGACTATCTCGCCCCAAAATATAGATCAAACCAACACCGATTCAAGTGAAAAACTGAGTACAGCAGAAGCAGTGGTCACAACAGGAGTAGTGTGTGGTGTGTGTAGCTTCACTGCTGGACTGCTACTTGGTGTTCTACTGACTCAATGTCATGGTCACTGTCATAGGAAGGGGAAGAGAGGCCAGACTGAGATACCTCCTGTTTATGAGGACATTCCCTTGGAGAAGACACCTCCCATTGAACTCAACACCAATGAGGCTTATGGACCTATATCTCCCATCTAACTCATGTGTTTTTACAACCTGTATTAATTTCCTGTTTTGCTTGCTAGTTTGAAACACATTTGGGTTTGGAAATGCTATACATCTCTGAAGAACTATGACTGTGAAAGGATAGTGCAAGGCTAGGTGTGCACACACAGCTGTAGCTGCATCGCTGTGTAATACCATTGTGGATTGTGCATGTGCTGGCCGGTGCAAGGCGCGTTTTTGAACTTCTCAGCTATTGGTCTTATGCTAAGAGATCTATGGTACATTGTACCGCAGAAGCCCTAGAAATCAAAGGCACCGCACGCAGTGTATGCGCACTAAGACAACTCATTAGTATTCATGCAATGGTGTATGGTGTGCTGACTCAACCATACACTAACATGTGGTCTCATACACCATGGCATGCATACTAATAAGTTGTCTTAGTGCGCATTCCTGTGGTACAAATTGGTTACACTACACCCACTCCACGGTTTAGTAGTGCATACACTACTCGTGCTGCGCACTCGTAGTGTATGTCCACTAAACCGTCTCGTGGGCATAGTGTAACCTATATTTATTGAGATTCTGTGACTGCTGTAAAATAGCCCGTGACATTAAGTAGGAATAATTATTGTGAGGAGCTCTGCCTCTGACCACTAGAATATTGGAGGCGATCGATGCTAGCTAAAGTATATGTGAGCCCATCAAGTAAAAATAGGGGCTATGACACACAGGGACAAGTTTGAGTTTGTGAATGAATTACGTAGTACAATGAATAGATAATTTGCATAGCGATATGCATGCCAGAACCGCGCGAGAGCATTACGCGCAACGCGCATTGCGCTCTACGTAAGGGATTTCCCCTCCGCCCGTGTATGGCTCGTGCGTACGTACACAGGGAAACATTATAATGTGGCGAACGCCCTATTTTTACTTGATGCGTTCACATAATTATATCATGAGATTTTCTGTGCATTTTCAAACTCCACAGGCCCAGCTCTTCCACGGTGAAACGTGACCTCCCAGTAAAATACGTCTGAATTACCAAGTGTGTGCATGAAGCATGTGCAATTAATGTCCATGAAACCAACAAAGAGGTTCCATACACTCCCATAATAAATATGCCTGACATGTGTGAGTATGGTAATGTATCGGCTGGGAGTGTTATATCATACTCAGCTAATTTGTAGCATGCAATATCCCATTGTAATAGACCACTCCCATGAGTCAGCTGTTTATAATACACACTGCAGTGTATCTGGCAGCTCTCGACCACTCCCTAATCCAACACTGCTTGTTTCCTTGCATGTCCTTTCGTCAGAATAAACGCTGTGATGGATATGATGTAATCCTTATGTATACCTGGGTCTGGTCTATGCAGGGAATTTTGCATCCAGACATGCATTACTCAAATATTTTCAGTTTGTGTTGTTTGTCTCTGGGTTTTTTGTGGTTGAGATTTTCGTGCTTTTGAATTAGAATTACAAAGTTTATTGCTACATATGCGGCTGTAATCACAACCATTCTACTAAAAAACCAGAGGCGTTATGTGTCACTGATCCAAAACCCTTCCTTCGCATCTGGTGTATTAGCGTACCATAGCCTCACTGTATATACTAGTGCTGGATCCAATTCATCCAAAATCGTGGGAAATATTTCTAATGGAGCATGTGCAGCCATGTTCCCAGGCCTTCAACTGGATGGTCACACATGTGCACTTATCACTCTTTGTAAATGTACATCGTGTAAGTGGGGAAGGGCTGGGAACGAGGCTAGAGCATGTGTTAGTGACTAATAATAGTGAGTCCTTGTCAAGATGGTTGGGTCAAAAGTCACCTAGAGCCCCACAGCAATGTGTGTCTCTGTTGAAGCTCTCAGGAAATGTCTAGCAACATTTCAGAATTGTATATCGGAGGATTTCAGCTCCTTCCACATGTCCTTATAATGACAGTTAGTGACATATCTCCCTCTGTTTGTACTCCCACTGTATATACTATACATCTCACATACATTTGTGGCACCAGCCTTGCACGTGGCAACGCTCATCTCTCTCCGTGATGACTCTTGGCTGAGTCTCAAATCTAATTATTTTCCACGTACATACACTTTCTGTACGAATGACAAGGTAAGATTGCGTAATGAGTAATAAGTAAAACAGTCTACATAATTATAGTGTATGGGTGCTACACATTCTTGAGACCAAAACCCAATAATGTTGTGGGCATGAGACCTCAGTGCTATTCCGAGAATATTCTCGGGAAAACATGCCCTCAGATGACACACATTCAGAAACTAGTTTCAGTTGCTATTGTTGTCCGTTGAATACACTAAGATTTCCTCAAGGGAGTCATAAACAACAAACACGAGGACATGTATATGGTATGTTAATGTACTGCACAACCCTTTAGCCTGGGAATTGAAAGTGGATATTATCGTTGTGTAGCTACAGGTGTAGTTTTGCAAAGATATGTGAGGGTCTCAGCAACAGTGTCAGCCTCTGCAGGGATAGCAAGTTGTGTGTGCATTGCATATCTTAGCACACATGTCGATCTATGCATTTTTTTGTTTGATATGTCTGCTGACATGAAGCTACACTCACTTTGCTGAGTTGTTAGTGTACATAATGCACTGTGTGTACTAATGGATGTATGTAATTGCAGTGCACACACGATAGTCACTCGTGGCAGAGGAGCGGAAATTTGCTGCACATGGTGCTGCGTGTCAGGCTGCAGGCATTTCCTTTCCCCCTTGCCATTGAAACCCTTGGGAGCTTGAGTGACACAACTGCGGACACCATCTTGAAAGCATTTGTGAAATTTCAGCCCTCTGTTTTTGACGGGAAAAAGATTGGTACAGGGGGACAGTAATCCACGAACAATAAACAGTGAGAGTTTTCCACTAGTTTATGGCACATGAACAAATTGTCCTCGACATGACATGGATTGTTGTGATCCAGGGCCTCCTATTCTGCTGTATAGTCTCAATATGGGTCCCATGTTATTCTACATCTCCCCATGTCAGCTCTTTGGTTACAATGTCCTCACCCATGTTAGGATCCATTGTTGTGGAACACTACAGTACTCTTCCTACATAGCTTTTGCTTTCACAGGTTGTTGACAAAACTAAGATAACAGTGAAAGACAAACACTGCCTAACATGGTGTGAGAGAGAGCTGTGTTGAATAGGAAAGTGGTGTCCAGTGTTATCAAAACTGCCTTGTGTAAGTACCACAACTGCATGTCTCACCCCACAAAAACACCTCTGCCATTGCTCCACCCAGAGCGAAGCGGGCACACCCATGTCATAATGTTCCTCATACGTTCACTTACTACGAAACAAGCATTTATGAACACACCATGTCAAGTTGTTGTACTCATTCATACCACCACACCCCATATCCCTTCTGAGGTTGTCATGCATGCAGAGTAACCAGGTCTCAATGTGAGAGACTAGACATGCACCCTCACTCATACAAGGAGCAGCTGTCTATAAACAGGCTCCAGCTGTCTCAGACTCATGGGATACAAAGCCACAACAACCATGTACCAGGACCAGCTTGCTTAGGCTGAAAGTGATACACAAATATGAAATGGGATAGTGAAAAAAATGAGGAGTAAAAATCAAACGAGTGCTACAATGATGATTATGACAATTCACTGAGTCTATAGTGCTAAAATGAGTCTTGACCTGTAACTATGGTATAATACTGACCTGCTACAATGACACACTATTGAAAAGAAGTGTCCTTTTCTGCATCTCGCTGAGGTTCATTGTTGATTGGAGAACTCTCCTCCTTGTCCTCCTACAGAAAGCCACCAATACAGATTAATGATTAGTAACACAGTAGCATGTCTGCACAAAGGAAGTATGTGGCCCACACAGCAGCTTACAGAGATGGGCTTCGAAGCTCTGTTCTTTTTCTTCTTAGTCTTGTCGACAACAGAATATACAGGGATATCAGTGGCTGGGGCTGGAGTCTAGCGTCAGGGCAGTGAGTAAGGATGGAAAACATGGTAGATACACCTCGGGTTAATGCTATATAAGGCATTGCTTGCCACTTCACATTCCCCCATGCACTTGTCATATTGCAACACACTGTACTGTATATAGCTACAGGATGCATAGAGACAAGTGTTTTCAGTTTTGGGTCAATACACACACACACACCACCCCACACACACCCACCTCAGTTCCATGTGTGTCTGGTGCACACACAACAGGAGTAGGTCCTTCCAACACATGATACATTGGCAGTGACAGTGGCTCCTCCTTCTGCATTGACAACATCGTTGACTAGGTTTTAGCATGACAACCCAAGAAGAAAGAGACTACACTGACCTTTCTAGAGAGGGTATTGAGGTCATCATAGACAGGAGGGATGACATCAGGACGAGTACTGTCGGTCTCTGGTGCTGCTGGGGCTGGGGTCTCTGGTGGACCACACGTTCTCTCCTCCACACTCACTTGGGGACTGCGGGTGTTGATAGAGGAAGTAGTGTGGGTACACACATGAAATCAACAACACTGTAAGTGTAAAGAGGAACATTGTATGATCATGATGCATGAAAAAACCAGTGTCGTCCATCCCTCTAGTGATACTCACTCACCCAAGAATTTTCAATTCCTCTCCCTTGTTGGATGCTGCACTAACTGTAGGTCGGATAGACCATGGTTTACATTGGATTAAAAACTGCACACACCTACCATCATATTTTGACCTTCTTTTCCTCACACAAAGCCACACAGCCAGACTCACTGAAACAGCCACTATTACCAGCAGTCCCACACCACCACCTACTACTCCAGCGCTATTTTTTCCTGTGAGAAATCATAAGAAATTGCTAATTCTTCGTTATGCACAGAATGTAGGAGGCGGCTGTGTCATTGCCAAGTAGTGCACCACACATGACCACTTCCTATATGCATTTGGTTATACAGCCCTGCTCAGGTCCATGCACACCATTGAAAATCTTTAACTATAGCTACAATACGCAAGAGTGAAACTAACCTGGTTCAGTAGGTGTTAGTATAGGGGTTACTGTAGGGGTGGGATACATGGTGATGGTATAAGTCATCTCATCAATGATGGTGTTGGATGTGGTCTCAACCAACTGTACTGTGATTACAGTGCCAGAGCTCACTATATCCCCCAGGTCATATTCCACAGTTGCATTAAAGGACACATTCACCAGTGTAGTGGGAGTGGCTATGATAATCCTGTAGTTCTCAGGTCTAGCAATACAGTCTCTGCTCTCAATGACTAGTGTCCTGGACCTCAGGTACACACTAGTCAACACTCCTTCAACTGCAGAGTAGATGTGGAGAGAGTGGCACACACACACACACCACAAGACAAGAACACAGTCTTACCGAGGTAGTGGGTGACAGTGGTTTTGTTACAGACAGCACTAGAGAATGTCACAGCAATTTCCACTGGTCCAGTCTCAGAGTAGTCTAATGTCAGTAGATGAGAGTCTTCAGAACTACCTCTCTCATGGTATGTGGGATCAGAAATTGCTCTCTCACTACCATCAACACTAATAGTTACGTTCCCTTGAGCACCTGGGTTCCCCTAAGAGAGGACGCCCCGTTAATAATGCTCAAAACATAGTCTACAAACCTTCCATGACACTTGAACGATGTTGCATTCCTTTTCAATTGCATTTACATTTCCGGGAAAAGACAAACCTGGAGAATAAATGGAAAACGTAACACTCAACGGCCCATTTTAATAACCTCACAGCAGTCAGTGACACTTTCTCCATTCTGGAGAACACCATCAACTCCTACGGTCACTGAGTACACAGTGAAATTGAAATCATTCACACTTCTGTCATTTGGGATGAAGCAAGTGTGTACACGTTTTTCAGAGGCATCACATTCAAAACTCTCCTCTCCACTGACAGCAGTGACAACATAATAGTCCACACATTCTCCACCATACACTGGAGACTGGAAACTGACCACAGCTGATGGTGGGTCCCACACCACTGACAGACTAGTGGGAGGGGAGGCTGGACCTAAATAGTAATGGTTCAAGCTTACAGGCTTGTCACAGCAGTTGTAACCATCTTACCAGTAATGCAGGCTACAACAGTGTCAAAGTTGCGGTTCTCATTTTTAAATGCTGCACAAGTGGCATTTGTGTTATTCCTGTGTGGGGCAATGATGAGGAGTTCAGACGTGATGACTGCAGCATCGTCTATTGTCTTCTCTGAAAATGTGTATTGCAGCCCATTTCTTGAGATGTTGTCAATTTTAAATTGGTCGAAGATAAAGATATTGTAGACCACTTGATCAGTTGGGTTTGTTACGACAGTCCAACTCATTTGTGAAACGGGATATGCTCTACAGGTGTAGCTTTGTCTCGGACAGACACATCCATAATGTGGCTCCACTGTGACATTTACTGATAGTTCTTCTGTGAAAAGAATGTAGCTTGAAGCACCCGAGGATCAGCTAGCTAGATTCGGATCACTTACCAGCTGCCTGAACCAACTGGAGAAAAATGAGGACCAAATTCCAATAGAGAGCACCGTGCAAACACTGTAGTGGAAGGAACGACGTTGCATGCACCGCGTTGACGCTTACAGATTATCCAAGATCCTTACCGACGTGGTTGCCTTCTCTGCTACCATTCCAAAGTACCGCAGCCTTACGTAAGCGAGTGTCAGATCAGGTCGTTTGTTCCGCATGCATGCGCGATAATTCTTTGACAAACTGAGCATGCTTGTCGGGATAATAATATATCCGCTCGAAATAACCTACCCACCATCAGCTTTTTGCTTGATAATCAAGCAAAAGTATGCTATCCCCACACAGAAATCGCACTCAAATCCCTCTTTTTTGAGCTAACCTGTGATGCATTATGACGATATATTGTTAATGGACATGCAGCATTTCAAGCCAAAAATACTCAAATCAAGAAAATTTGACAACATTTCTCAAAGCAAAAGTTTAATATGCAGGTTGGTAAGGTATAACGCTCGTCGCACAACGCCCATTTCCCGCCAAAGCTCCGCCTTGTCAAAAATCTGTCTCTAAATCTATCACTTAACTCCCATTTTTGGCCGTTCTCAAATTCAATCTCGATTTTTGGGGGGAAAATCGTTCTCTAAATCGGCTCTTTTTACTCGATTTTTCGCTCTAATCGATCCGCTTAGAGAACGATTTTTTTCCAAAATCGAGTTAGAGATCTAAAAAATCGAGTAAAAGAGATCGATTTTGGAGAACGGCCAAAATCGAGTAAGTGATAGAGACAGATTTTTGAAAGGCGGAGCTTTTTGGCGGAAATGGCGTTCCATAGGAGCTAGGAGAGTGCGACGAACGGATATCCCGACAAGAATGCTCAGTTGTCAAATTATCGCGCAATGCGGAGCAAGCGACTGATCTGACACTCGGCTTACGGCTGGGTACTTCGGATGGTAGCAGAGAAGGCACGCGTCGGTAAGGAGTCATCAATTCTGAAAACTCCTCATCATCGCCCACACAGGAATAACACAATGCCAACTTGCTTCACATTAAAAATGACAACGACAAACTTTGACACTGTGAATAGCCTGCATTAAACTGGTAAAATGGTTACACACTCTGTGACAAGCATCTAAGCTTGAACCATTACTATTAGGTCCAGCCTCCCTCCCACTAGTCTTGTCATTTGTGT